ACCGTCGCTGATGGGCTCAGCCTTGGCCAGCAGCGGGTCCATCTTGGAGCCAGTTGGCATTGGCTCTATCGGACATCGGGGAAGCTTCTAGCAGCTTCCCACAGAAGACATCCCTGTAGCCCCCCCGCTACCAAAACCTTGCCATGCAAACCCAATACAGTACCATGATTGGAAAATGGAATACATGTAGGGAAAAGCTTGGGAATTACAGTTTGTGTTTTAAAACAGGAAAAGGCTGACTGTAAGAGGATGCCTGGTGCTGCTTTTATGAGTTTGACTCATGGCTTGAGTTTTTCTGTATGGGTGATGTGTTAATGCTTCTCTTGACATGTTTATTAGCTTACACTCTCTAGTGCCATAAAACAAAATGTTGGTGTTTTAAATAAGGGCCTGCCTCTTTCTGTTGGCACTGGAATGCATTTGGATTTTTATAAAGTACTCTAAATACTGCTCAATATTTTATCAGTTTCTTCTTCACCTCTTGTTTATTTAGTTTCAGTGTTTGGGGTGTTTTTGTCCTAACCTTGTTTTTTTATTCACTCACTGTAGAGCTGATAAAGCAGATGATGAGGACGATGAAGATCTAACTGTGAATAAGACATGGGTCCTTGCACCAAAGATTCATGGTGGGGATGTAACTCACATACTGGACTCCTTACTTCAAGGATATGACAATAAACTTCGGCCAGATATTGGGGGTAAGCCCTTAAAATAATTCAGTAAATAGAAGATGTGAACCAGAGATGGCCTGCATTTCATCAAAGATGGCAAAAAATCCACTTAATGCAATGTTTAAAACTTAATATAGCAAGCTAAATATAACAGCAATAAAATGCAATGGTTTTCTGGAACTCCTTACTTCAAGGATATGACAATAAACTTCGGCCAGATATTGGGGGTAAGCCCTTAAAATAATTCAGTAAATAGAAGATGTGAACCAGAGATGGCCTGCATTTCATCAAAGATGGCAAAAAATCCACTTAATGCAATGTTTAAAACTTAATATAGCAAGCTAAATATAACAGCAATAAAATGCAATGGTTTTCTGGAACTGGTAAAAATAATGTTCAATGCAAGAGTAGAATTTTTATGTTCTATTTATAATCTCTTTTTCCTATGTAAAGTATTGCTTTTTTGGGACAGTGGGCAATCTACAATAAATCATTAAAAAGCAATTGTATTTTGCTTTGTTTAACTAAGATCTTCTGACAGAAAGAATTGTAGATATAACCCAGCCATGGTTATTTAAAAATTTGATCTTGAGTCTGTAGGACTTTATTAAAGAATTATTCCTAGATATTTTTACTCTTACTGTAGAAAATGCATTGTAAGTGTGTATTTTGAGGAAACTTAACTCAGTCCAGCTCCCTTCTTCCCTTAGCTCAGATTTTGAAAAAGAATCTTTTCATAAGAATCTAAAAATATAACTTAGAATCATAGAATCATAGAATCATTAAGGTTGGAAAAGACCTCTAAGATCATTGAGTCCAACCATCAACCCAACACC